GCCCATACTTCATGCTAGTAAAAAGCTAGAGCTTTTAAAGCCACATCTTGCACTTTCAAGTATTTGTGCTTCAAGGAGAAATACAAGCATGTAAATGTTATTCAGGATGTCAGATCATTAAAATGCCATTTGAAAGAACCTGGCAAGATCTTACTTAAGGCTACCTACAAGACAGTATTTGAAACTAAATGATAGCTCCTGTGATAAAACAAGCCCTGTGGAGGCTCTCACAGAATTTCTGATACTTGCTGGTGTCACTATTCTGACATTTGATGTGTTATTGGTATATCTTTTCTTTTTTTTTTTTTTAAAGAATGTTGTTATGCTTTTTCTCCTGACCAAATAAAATGTTTTATAAAATAGTTTTTAAAAAACCATTACCTCCTAATTCCTTGTTGGAACTAGATGATCTTTAAGGTTCCTTCCAACTCAAACCATTCTATGATTCATATTTGTTTCTGCTGGTTTATTTAAGTATCATAAACAGCTAGCACTCCATTTTAACCCATAACACCAAACAAATGTTATCAAAGGAAAATATTGGACAAGTGCACACAATAATTTATTCAAATTAATGAGCTGTCTTTAATAAAAAATATTTAACATTCCTCTGTACTCATTTCTGAATAATGTAGCTCTAACATAGCTGCCAATTTGCAGTTAATAATTACTGATAAGAGATTTATCAACTCAAGAAACATGTCTGAATACCAATAAAACTTTATAATATTAACCAATATTCTAAGATATAGATAGGCAGATAGATTTCTTTTCAGGGTAAGCAGTGTATTATCCCTACTCTGTGTATACAAACACAGGTAAAAAGGGAGGAATCAAAGAAAACTTGCTGTATTGCAAAGAGGAAAAAAATGAGATCTTTATCCACACTACTTTTTCTTGACTATGCTGTACTACCAGAAACAACCATACACTACTGTTTATTGAATCTCAGTGAATGGGGTGTAAATAGTCACTTTAGTTACATGCATAGGAAAAGGCTTTGCTGGAAAAAGAATGGAAATCAAAGAAGGCAAAAGGCAAAATGCACTCATAGCTGAAAGAACAAAGATAACTGGAGCAGAAAAGTGTACAAATTCTGTTTTCTAAGTGGGTTTTTTTTTTGTTAGAATTTTTTTTTCAAGTTCTCAATCAAAAGTGGCTAAACATTTGGAGGATCAAAGCTAGAAAGAGCCTATCTTGAAATACATTACGAATTAATTTAGTACAGCAACATCATCATAGAACTCTGTACATCTGCACTTTTCACCAGATGTTTCTGTAGACCAATGTGAAAACATACTTACAGCTCATCTTATCTATGTTCCATAGTAATCCAAAGGAGCAGACAGTAGAGCTGAGATCAACAGACGTAAAACTAATGCACTCTTTTTTTTTTTCCCCCCATACACTTGTTTTAATTTCCTATGCAGTGTAAGCTTCCAAGAAGAAAATTAATTACTTCATTGTTTTCAACAAGTCTATAAAATAGTATGGATTAGATTAATTCAAAAGTACCACAAGCAGCAGAATTTTTTCTCCTTTCTCCTCTGGGAGAAGGTGAGGGAACAGAAAACTAAAATGCAAAGAGGGAACAGATCAATATTTGAAGAAAACTCAATTTCAAGAGAATTAATGTCTAGTTACTGAAGGAAAGGACGATTACATGGGTTTAAAAAAAAGAAAAGAAAAAATCTAGATATTTCAAACAGAAGTTGTAGCTAAGAGATGTCCATCTGAAAATCTTAAAAGCAATATGCCAAAATTTCAAAGTGCTGGAGAGGATTGTGAAAAAATGAATATTTGTGGTAAGCATAAGAAAAAGAAATCATTAGAAATTAAAGATGAAAAAGAGGCATCTTCTTATACCAGAAACGTGCTTGTATTTTATGAATACATAACACGTAATCAGTTTCAAAGAAATAACATGTAAAATTAATGTCTGAAGAAATGAAGTTCAACAGCTTAATGTGCTTTCTGAAGAAGAGCACATCCTGAGACAGTAAGATTTTTCCACTGATAAGGACTGGTACTTGACATACATTGACCTCCTAGAAGTTTGATGCCAATATAGAGGCAAACAGTTGCCTCAAAGAAAAATTTTCCCTGTATCTTTACAGTGATGCAAGTTTGAAGAGGACAGTTTACAGTAAATGCACTTCATTTTCCAAATGGAACCTCTTACATCATCAGCTTTTCCCATCATCTGTATTTGCAGGAGACAGAAGCTCTTGCAGCCTGTTTTCCCGCACACTCCTTGGTGACTAAGGTAGCAAAGGGAAAAGGGGAAGGAAGGACTAAAAGATGAGGACAGTGAGGTTGAGGAGGTTGTGGGCACAAGATCTATGATTCATGTTTGGGGAAAACAGCTGTGCAAGAGGAGCAAGAGGCACACCTTCAGGTGTAAATGCTTCCACTTTCTTCATAGTTATAAGAAAGTATTTGAAAATCTGGCTCTAAAACTTGTTTGAGTGTCCACACTCTCTGAAGTTGAACCTGTACTGCCAATGATAATGAATAAAACAGTAGAAACTAATAAAGACTGACAAAAGATGTGGAGCAGCAACACTGAAAATGAAAATCCATGAGAGATCGCCCCTGCAGCAACACCAATTGATTTTTCTAACAGTGATAACTGCTAATGAAATAGACAGTAATGTATTGAGAAATCAGAATTTCAGGCAATAAAGTTGTAAATTCTGAATATAAGGTAATCCACTATTACATATTCTAACAACATTAACATCCAACATTTGCAAGACATCCATGAGGGAACCAAAAAACAGTCAAGTTCTGTATCTCTGATTGTTATTTCCAGCTTTTTTATTAGTAGTATGTATTTACTCTGATTGTAACATTTGTCATTCTTACAGATGTTTTGGAGAAAAAAAGCTAGCATCATGATGAAATAACTGACTTTTAACATTTTAAAATTCACAAAAGTTTAAAAATATCTGTTTCTACCCTTGTATTTGCAAAATTAATTTTTCTGCCAAAACCAGAAACTTTTCCTTGATTAAGCTAGTGGGTTGATTTAAAGCTTTTTCTTAGAAACAACAGCAAAACACATGCTTTCCTTAGCTTTGCTTTTCAGTTTCAAGCCTCTATTTCCTTTTACACACGATCTGTTTCAAAGCAAAGTTCTAGGCTGCAAACAAAACCACCCTTTACATACAATAAAATCCCAATGGTTTTGCAATTACTAAATGATTACATTGTTGGGGCATTTTGAAAATAGAAGCTGCGTTTTAAAGTATTAAGATTATTTTGGTGCTGTGTGGCATGCCTACATCTATTTATAGTAAAATCTAGTCCAATCCCCCTCCACACTTAATATGATATCTCTTTGCTCATTTATAAAGTATATAGAGGCATTTTTATCTTCATAAATAAATCACCATTGCTGAATGACATAATCTAAATGTCTAAAGCATCTGTCATGTTGTGTGCCTGTTAAGGGGGAAGCTGCTACCCGAGTGTTCACACACCAACCGAGGAGCTGCACACTCACCACCTTAGAATTTAACTGCTGGGACCAGAGTCCCTTGGCAGCAGACAACTGCTATGAACTCACGGGCGACCTTCTTGACTCCTCATACACACACACTTACTCTCAGGTTTTTCCCATTCCCTCAAGCTTAACCCTATGTTTCCTGAATCAGAATCTCCCACACAATGTACACCAGAAATATATTGAGATGTACAGCAGTGAAGAAGAGCTGGAGCTTGGTATCTCCAGAGAGGGGCCCCAGACAAAAGAATCTCAGGGCAATTATAGCTTTACCATCTACATTCCCCTCCCTTCACATGATGGTTCAGTCTAATAGCAATATTTGGGTCTGGGGTATCCTTGTTCCTCATGGGATACTTTCTCTGTCTCCAGGTGGGCTATTCCTTTTCCCACCTCAAGGATGCAACTTCTGGTGACGGATGTGGCTATCTTACCTTCCTAGTTTACACCGGTTTTGAGACCTTCCTTCATGTAACTAAGTAAGAATGCAGTATAAGTTCAGCAGTATCTAGGTGAAAGTTCACAGCTTGCAATGTAAGGCATTTTACTAATGCTACACACTGGATTCCATGTATCTTACCTTTTCAAGGGGTAACAGGATGAAAAGCTTAAAATACACAAGCGATGTGGAAGAAAAATGAGCATGCTGGACATACATACTAAGGAGCACCTTGTAGACTTGATTTGGCTCCTCTGTTTCATACTCATGTAAATCAAGTGTGATTCAACTCAGAGAATTCATTGACAGTGTGGATGCTCACAGGAATTTTTTAAAAAAAAAGTCCCACTCCATTTCTGGTTTTTATTTCAAGATAATCAGACGGTATGTGTTTTTGGTTCAAAGAAATTGCTTGGAGCCCTGTGCTGTTTCTGACATGTTTTTCATCCCTTAGTGTTGATGCAATGCATTTTCATTGGCTTTGGCACCTCAAGACTTTGGAATGCTGTTGCGATATATGTTTAAAGTTCCCTGTCCCTTGACTTCTTCATGTTAACTCAGACTCTATTTCCTCTTTAAATAACATAGTAAAAGAATTTCTAAATGTCACTCATTAATAAGTGCTTAGTCTAACCTTTTGAAAGTACACTAAATTCATAGTTTGAGTTGCCTTAAAGAAGAGAATAAGCAAAGCTTTTTTGTCTATTTTTACCTTGGATTAAAAAATAATTAACACAAACAGGTTTTCCACACCTTCAGTAACCCAGAATTATTTTCACTCTCAGCATCAAACTATAATCCTGTTAAAATTTTTAAATACTAACAGGTCCCCATAGAAAAATACACAAGATCACTGTAAAATTAACATTAATTTGTCAAAATCAGCAACAATTTAGAACAATTTCCCTGCACATGTCATTAACAACATCGATGGTACAGCAAGGATTCACATAGACAATTTAAAAGCAAATTAAAGCCCAAGAATTAAATCCTTCCTTGTATTCCATTTATAATATAGGGGGAAATTAAAAACAAAGTACAAAACTGGCTTACTTCCAGTATGATCAGCACGTAGACACCTACTAAGATGATGGATGCAATTGTTACTTGTGCTTCTATATTTGCATGAAGGTATTGATGCTTCATGGACAGAGGGACACTTCGAGACTCCTGTAGGAAAGCTTGAATGTTTATGAAGATGGTGCCCCTTGTGAAATAAAAGGAAGTTTTGCTTATTTCTGGAACAAAATATAATTAATTTATTTATGCATTAATTTTATATTGACTACAAATATATATATAGACATGTAGCAAGTAATTTTTCAAACATTTTCACTCTATCCCTCTAAATAGCATTGTTAGGAAAGTAGCTCAAGTACAAACCAGCCTTGTAAATCTATTAAAAAAAAAAAGAAACAACAAGAAATTATCCTTTCCTGACCCTCTGAAACAGGCAGGGATACAGTATTTTTAGAAAAATTATCTATTCTTTCATAGTCAAGTCTATGAAAATTACTACTTCAATGGATCATTTCTTGGTCTCTTAGCCAACCTGTTTGGTATCTGAAAGGTTCTAGTTGTGATGATTTGTTGATTTCGTCTTGAACTTAAGGGTAGAGACCAGTTGTATACCACCTGCAAGAGAGTCACATTTGGCAATATTAATAAAATTCAATGAAAGTATATCTCTGATCTAGCGGTTTATTCCTCTTTGTTCTCTCTCCTATCCATTTAGGAACATTTTTTGTAGACAAGGAATAATACACCAACCTAAATTAGTTCCATATTATTTGGTATGTCACGGGCACTCAGGTTGGACCACATTCATCCTCATTCCCTCCCTCAGTCAATGAACTGAGACACACCTCCAGGAGGTGCTCCAGAGAGATCATCCCAAACCACACTTTGCATTGACTGTAAGGAGCATCCAGGGCAGCTAGGCTCAGAGACAACAATCTGGTTCGCACTCAAAGACTGGCTGGGAAGAAAACTAACATACATGACGTACAGATGAAAAAAGGGCCTGCAGCAACAACATATCCCCAGACATTATGGAGAGGACTTCGTAGAATTTCAGTAAACAAAATTCATGTTTTCTGATCTTCTAGCAAAAAGAAACATAAAATTTTCAGAAAATAAACACTTTCAGAAACTTTGCTCATTACTACACAATGATATTCATGCAAGTTTAGACAAATTTACACTTTACATGTAGATATAGATATTCTTTCTTTTTTTAAAGAAGAGAAAATTTTTAAAAAAACTTCAGATTTGGTTAATTGTAGCTTAAAACCTAACCCTGTCCTGACCCTGTATACTAGAAAGTGCAGGGGAAAAAAAAAAAAAAAAAATCTGCTTAATCAGCCAGCTTGGAACAGAGAAATGCCTGAGGAGCAAGCAAGCAGGGAAGGTTAATATGGCTACCTATTCCTTTGGTCACATCAGGACCACTGCTGGCATGTCATGCTGGTTTTGGCTGGGAGAGGGTTAATTTTCTTCATGGTAGCTAGTACAAGGTTATGTTTTGGATTTGTGCTGAAAACAATTTTATAATATAAGATGTCATTATTGCTGAGTAATGCTTACAGAGTCAAGGCCTTCTGCTGATGGGAAGTGGTGAATGAATTCCTCATTTTGTTTTTCTTGTGTGTATGGCTTTTGCTTTACCTATTAAACTGCCTTAATGTCAACCCACAAGTTTTCTCCCTTTTACCCTTCCAATTCTCTCCCCATCCCAACCCAAGGGGGGTTGGGAAGTGAGCAAGCAGCTGTGTGGTGCTTAGTTGCCGGCTGGGGTTAAATCATGATATATGTTAGCAGACATGAGCTGCTGCAGCCAACTTTGCACTGGCAGCCCCACAGCATGAAGGCTGCTTGGAGATCACTCCCAGCAGGCCAGGTTCAAGCAGCCTCTTCACCACAGGTGTAAGCGTTATAAGAGTAATTTCCAGTACAGTATTGTTCACCAAGCTGAAGTAATGGGACTAATTTTTGGTGTGGACTGTGAGATTGCTTGAAAGCAGGAGTACTGATGGCATTGTTCAGCTGTGCTGTCACTGGTAGAGGGAAGCCATCCTGTCACATATACAGAATGAGAGGCAGTTGTTTGTGTGTCAATGCTATTCATTAAGTGATGAAGCTTATTTTTATTTTTCAGTGATATATAATGACAGGCTATAAAAGATCCTCCACGGAGTTCTCTGGAAGAGAGCAGCAGGAACTTGTTACAAAAAAAAAAAAAGAAAAACCATCAACAACGAGAAAGCCTTAACAGAAATAAAGCCAATAAACGTGACGTGTTCGAGAAAATAATTTGCAACAATACGTGAAAACATATTTCAGTGAGTGCAAAAAAAGGCACTTTGCACTTGTTTCTTTCTTCTAAGACAATTTTTGAAACCTTGCCAATTTTAAACACAGGAACTTCCATGTTGTGTCAGTAAAGGGGCATAAGTTTTACAAAATTTTAATATAGGAAGCTAAAGGAAATCTTACAAAGTAAAAAGAAAATGTCACTGTACTCTTATTAGAATAAGTTTTCTAATGCTGACATTGACACCCTTCACAGCAAGGAAAAGTACAACCAGGCAACAGTGATGGAAATATAACTGTTAAAACTTATCTCAGAAAAAGTGAAACAAAATGTAAAGACCTCACCTGCTGCTGGCGTCTTCTCCTTGGCCCAGCATCTTCAGTCTGGCTGATTTGCACTACAACGTATTCCTCTGTTTGCTGATCAACTACATCTGCAAGAAATGGGCCTCCTATGTCTAACTTCAACAGAGCAGAATCATGAAAATCGGTCAGATTCATAGCTGTTAATAAAGTTGTTAAGGTGTAAATTTCCAGTAGAAATTAGTATAGGCTGTACAAACCCCAGAAAATAAACAAACAAACAAAAATATTAGTCAACTTGTATTGAAAACACGTTCTTCATCTAAAATGCATAAGACACTATGGAAAGAAAACAGATGTCTACTTCCTCACCAAGTAGCACTGTTTTGGCAGGGTTTCCTAGGGAACAGGAGTTATGAGTTCAGAACAAAGCATCTGTCCTTTCCTAGTGACTTTTGGGATCACCAGTGCTTTCAGCTGACACTGTAGATGTAACAAAGCTCAAAAATAGCATACAGAATGCACAAAGAGACAGAAGTAAGTTTCTTTAAGTGCTTGTACTGCATAGAAAGCTGCATCATCAGCTCAGCAATTTAAATATCACAGATTTGGTACTGGGGAAAACACTCTGGAAGTTCCAACCACATGTCAAAACTAAACCAGAATCAATGTCCTATTCAAGCCAGAGGATTTGCTTTTTGGTAAAAATATTACTCATACTTTTTCAAACATCTGAAAGATGTATTTTCAAGCTCCTCTCAGTTGGAGTACTCACAAACTCCTCCTCTTCCAGCTCCATCATCTACTTTTTCTTTCTTTCTCTCTTGGATATCTAGCATGAGATGTGGTCAAACTACATTCTTAGTCCGCTATAATTGAAAAATCAGCCAACGACTATCCCCAAACCCATTGGAAATCTGGCTCTATTAGTCCAAATACATCTAGGACTATTTAAACTTAGTATCATGATAGTCCTCCTCTGAGATGGTTGAGAAATAAGCATCCCTGTGCGTTTGGGGAAGAGGGAAAGCCTGAGCTTTTAAACCCTACTCAGTCTATTTGTTACTATAATAGAGCAGCATTGTAATTGTTTTGCTCCTGTCTGTGACCAGATAGAAAGCTAGGGCGTGACCAACAAAAGAGAAAAATCCTAAGAAAGGGAGAGATGATTTTACACATACAAATTCTGTTAAAATCATGCAATATTCTAATTCTTTAGTATCTTAACAGTTTTAACATTTGACATTTAACCGAGCATACTGCAAAGAGCAAATCTGTCACCAAAATAAAAAAAAAAAAAGTACAAGATATATACCTACCAGAAGAATTTTCCCAGAAAAGCATGTTGCTGCCCACAGGACTCAGAGGGTTTTTTTAACAGAAGAAAAAACACAGCGTAGTTAGAGGGGCTCAGGGCAGTACCGTGCCCTGCTTCCCAATGAACTCCAGTAAGGCTATCCATGGTAGACCAGCCTCTAAAGGAGAAAGAAAGCTTTGTGACATTATGCAGGGTCCTTCACCTTTAAGAGTTGCTGCATCGGACCACATTCCTACCAGGACAACTGGATCTAGAAAAGAGATGTCTCTCACAGTAACCCAAAAAAGACCCTAGAAGATGTCTCTCTCACTAACCCAAAAAAGACCCTAGAAGATCTAGCAGCAAGTGAGCGGCCAGTGCATTGCAAAGTAATGTAAATATCACCCTGCTTAGCACAGCGAGCAGAGCAATCACCACCTGTGTCACTCACATGCCATTCACTCAGAATGAACCTCCTAAGCATCTATTTGCTTAAAGGAATCACACAGGAAAGACTTAAAAAATAACCTCAGGTGAAACAAATCACAAGACCAACTCCAGTCAGGAGAATTTGCACACACATCCCTTAGCAAATGTAAATACAAATTACAACAGTTCATTTCTAGTTCTGAAGGTTTTGAGTGTGATTTGGCATCACAGTTTTTCTGTGTCCTAATTAATACATAATATTAGTCTCAAATGGAACTATACCTATACTTTTAACTAGGGACATTCATTATACCTTCTAAAAGGCCTGCTGACCTGAAGTCATTAACCCAATGATTTGGGACACCTCTTGACAGTCTGCCTTTTATTGAGTGTAGCCAGTAATTTACGTCCTGAAAAGCTTCAGATGCATATAATTATGGCAGCTTTCTTTTAACCAATACTTTGAAAATAAATCCTGTAATTACCTAGATGACACATTCAGGAGTTATTAAAAAAGGATGCTTACAATTAAAGGGGGGGGT